GGAACAGGAAGCTTAAAAAAGTTAAGATACATAAATAAACAAATAAATAAATCAGCATTCTGTGCTTAGATGTTTGGATACTTTAAAAATAAAATGGCTATAATAGAATAGAATAGAAAAAACAAATTTGAGTTTCTATTACAATAAGAAAACAAACAAACAAACAAAAAAACATATTTTGCGTGCCGTTTAATTCAGTTTGTCATGATATTGAACGATTCTAAACTTTCAAATTGCTGTATATGAATATGATATAATGGCAATGAAAACAACAAATATGAATTGAAAACCACTTTACTTCCAAGAAACAAACAACAAAAAAACATCAATGCTTTACTACATGACAATCGATTTTGGTTCCTGGCTTTATGTTGTGAACATAACATAACAAGACAGTTGTTGTGAATGGCAGGCAATGTTCACAGCTCACAGGTCAAACATGATCTGTGTTGTAAAGCAAAACACACACACAAACACTCCATTAAAAATCCCATAATCCCACAACACCTAAGAGCTTCTTAACAACACGTTCATGTGTGTGTATCTGTGTGTGTGTGTGTGTGTGTGTGTGTGTGTGTGTGTGTGTGTGCGCGCGCACGTGTTTGTGCGTTAGGGAGAAGAATACGGGTTTGTCGTGCCTTCAGTGCCTCTAACTGTTTTGAGTGTCATCATTGTGAACAGCGAGATAGCATCAAAGCACCTCAGCAAAACACTCCAAAACCTTTTGAGCATAAGCTGTTTTGGACCTCAAGCTTAAACAGAGAACCGATGCAAGGGATGATGTAAGAGACACGGACAAGGCCATGAGACAAGAAGCAGTTACGGGGGAGAGCGGACAGTCCCACAATGTCAATAAATGGATATTTACAGATCAGATGTGTGTATGTGTGGGTGGGGGTCGTTGAAATGTGAATAATAATCACTTTAACAAATGCTCTTTAAAGTCAACACACGATTCGAAAGACACCCATCTACAGTCTGATAATCATCTTCACACACAGACACACACACACACACACACACACACACACACACACACACACACACACACACACACACACACACTACTGAGCTGCTTCTTTATTGTTTAGCCAACAAGCACTTCTCCGGCTGTATGTAAGTCTGCTGCAGAGCTAACGGTCCCAACCCACTTGTACATCTCAAACAGGTCAGAACACGCCAGAGAAGTGGATTTGCATGTTATTTACATCCCGGTTACAGTGCACAGCCAGGGGGAAGGTCTTGAAAAAGCAACTGTCTTCCAGGATGAGGGAGATGAGGTAAAAGGGGAGGGGGGAGAGACAGTTGGATTTGCATCACCTTGCACCTCAGAGAGGGATATTGGGAAGATCCTCTAAAGCATGTTTGTATTTCTCTATCTCTTCCTGTCAGGAGATTTGTCTCATGGCTTCGGGCGGTGAAACACCAGCTAGGTACAAAGTGTGTCTTACTTTCTGTCACACGGTGAACTTGAATTGAAGCATGAAGAGTTGCGTCTAAACATCTGACTCGACATGTAGAGCTGCATCTAAAAGCTTCCGCTCTTCTGGGAAGACCTTTGAAATGTTGTTGTCTGTTTAAATTCAGCTGAAAAATGATAGCTTCAACGTACCATGCTTTGAACATAGACCAGACCCCAATTTGTTGCGAATTATGTCAGACACAAAATAAATTCTTCCACTTTCCTCCCATGAAAAAAAAAGGTTTCTAATGTAATGATCTCACTTCAGTAAAGGCAATATTTTACTCACATATTGGAGTTAAGCGTTGAGCCCATTTGGCCTCTGTTACTAACCAAAACAACAGTACCCATCAGAGAAACTGACACTATTTGTTGAATTACCTCATTTCATTTTGTGCCTCCACAAAAATTGGACTGTTTTATGTGCAAGTTTGACAAAGCAAACTATAAAACGCATAAAACTAACCCACATGAGATGTACAACAGCATGAAATGGACACGACAGGCTTGATCGGAAGGTGTTTTGATAATAACAGAATCAACATAAAACCACTATTCCCCAGGGTGATAAGATCTGCTATCAAATTGTATAATTTAGCCTGATGCAAAACGTTTGTAAGGCAAACAGGGATGAAGCTAGAAAAGTACCTTGGGGCACACCGTAAAGGAGAGTTTCACAAGAGAGCAACTGAAGAACTGGTGCAAAAAAAAGAAGGAAGGAACTGAAACCATCCGGGGTTTCCTATATGGATACACACCCTATACTTAGGCGGGGGAGAAGAAGCAAAACCATTTAATCCTGCGACGCCCTACACGAATGTGCTCATTGAGAGCCTCAGTAGTGTTCTCTCAGGGCAGCGGTCCCCAACCTTGTCTGATCAGTGACCAGTTTCAAGTAAGGCAATGGGAACAAATAAAAAGAAATAATTGTTCACTACAACACACCATGGCTGAATGAAGTTGTCGTCACGAAGATTGTCCTTTGAAATTAGCCTTTAGTCTCAAGTGTGTTAAAAGTGCATTTGTCCCAATAATAGGGATTGAAATGGGTCTGGGCCACCAATCTTTAAAATGTAACGTGTTAAACATTTACGACCAAAGATCCTCATGTGTGTGTGGAGGACTACAGAGACACAGACGGGAGCACCTGAATTTCAGAGTAAAACTGCTTTCAGTCTCTAATGATCAAAAGAGGGTTTTTTTTTTCTCATTTAGTCTCTTGGTCCAGCCCGGTACCAAATGACCCACAGATCAGTCCATGGCCGTTGTCTGAGCGGAATGGCATTGCATTGACTCAGTTTTGTCACAAGTTTCCACGCTGGATGGTGTTGAGTCAGCATCCAGGTGGACCCGTCACCATCAGGAACAAGGCCTCGTATTCCCAGTTGTCCCAAAGAACCCCACCTCCCTCCCATATATGCCGCTGTATCCATCCCTCCTGTCCCATGTCCTCAATTCAAACACAAACAAGCTCCAAGAGAAACAGGTGTCTTTCCCTGGAGATGAATAAACAGTAAAGCAGGATTCAGGACCTGGAGGTTTGGGAGAGTTTGCGTGTGCGTGTGTGTGTGTGTGTGTGTGTGTGTGTGTGTGTGTGTATGGGAGGGGTCGCTGATACCATCTCCTAAGCCCCCTTTGTCTCCAACAAAGCTGTTTGTTTACACCTAATGCATTGCTTTTTATCCCCGCCTTTGCGATTTTTAACGTACTATATTTATTTAGATCACATTGTGACTCCTCAATTAGCTGTTTTCGTGGCACGAAAATAAACAAATGAGCTCGAGAGGCATTTTACTATTTTGCTGCCTTTCCCCCCCCTCAACTTACCTTGAACCCACCCCCTTATTTGGTTGCATGCTAATTCACTGTGCAATTTGCAATCTTTCATGAGTCTTGGCCGATTTGCATGCTGCTTTAACTGCAGGACGATGCTAATCTACACTGTAGAGTTGGGGTGCCGTATGACACCACTTCTCCTCGTAGTACAATTTACACTGTCATGTACCCCACTTTGCACTCCAAGGCACCTGTAATGTCCCAGTGTCAAACTATTTACCTCTAAAAGGATAATGATGTCTGCTCTATGTTGGTGGTGATTGAAATTTGGTGCAAGTTAAAGTCTGGTGAAAATTAAAATTTCTTTCTCAGAAAATGCGCTGGAAAAAGTCCCAAAATAAATATATAGTAAGAATATGTATAAATATAGTCACTGATGGTGTAGAAATTCAGTTGATTGACTTTGGGTTCAGGGCTCACTTTCATCAAAATGTAAATGTGAGTGTGAATGGTTGTCTGTCTCCACATGTGCCCTGTGACAGGATGTTTTGTGCCTATTGTTCAGTTGGGTTAGGCCCTAACAGGATAAGTGGTATGGAAACAGATGGTTGAAAGAAATTGTAACACAACATTATAAATTAGCATTTGTCTGTACTGTAGTCTCACATTGAGAATGTTTGAATTTCACAATAAAAGCAATTCAATTATAAAATAAACGGAATAAATGTATAGTTTCCGGGCATCTTCTTGATCATGACCTTATAGCACTATTCATATGGTATAAGTAATTACTGGTGGTAGCAGTTCAAAAAATGGATGGATGGATGGATGGATGGATGGATGGATGGATGGATAAAACATAATTTCATTCAAAGCTTAATTTGTGCTAATAATTGGCTAATATCGTAGTACTGTACACTTACTGGTGTCAACTATTGAAATTGGATGGAAGACCAAATTTTTTTGATTTTTGCTCGTGTAATGATGTTTATTAATACATAATAATGACTTTAAAGATGTACCGTTATCTGAACCGCTTTATTCTCAAGAGGGTCGTGGGTCTGCTGGTGCCTATCCATGCTGTCTTCATGCCGCAGACGGGGTACACCCTGAACTGGTTGCCAGCCAATTGCAGAGCACACATAGACAAACAACCAACCACACTCACATTCACTCCAAGGGACAAATTAGAGTGTCCAATTAACCTACCGTGCATGCTTTTTTTGGAATGTGGGAGGATACCAGAGTACCCGGAGAAAACACACTCATGCAGGAGAACATGTAAATTCAAACACAAGGGAAAGCCGGGACCCGGAACCTAACCTTGACCTCTGCACTGTGAGGCGGACGTGCCCGCACCATTTTAAAACAGAACTGTCAAATCTCAGTTGATATTATTACTGCTGGTTCACTGTTATGAATTGAGTAGGGAGCCGGTTCAGCCAATCGGGGCCATGGAAAGGGTAATTGACAGGATGACCCCGCCCTCTGAACACCTGTAATCCAATCCGTGTCGCCTTCACAGGTAAAACCGGCCTCGATTTCTCAGCAATGCCCCCCCCAAAAAAGCGAGTCGAGCCGACAAAACCCGTTCTACTCCGCCGGGGACACCTTGTTTGTTGCCGCTGCCCTCATCCAAACGTTCGCGGCGCCGTTTTTCTACGCTTAAAAGAAGACGGATCGGATTTTCAGTACCAACTAGAAAGTCCAGTTCGACCGACCGAGATGTCACAGGAGCATGACAAGTAAGTTCTCCTGGCCTCGCCACTCTCGAGCCCTCACAACAAACCGCCTCGCACTTAATAGCCACACTTAATTCCGACTTTTGTGGACTTTTGACATCTTTTTCCCCGACACATTTCCCTTCGTCTCGCCTTGGAGTTTAAACGTCTATTTTGGCTTCCCTCTGACCAGCTGCTTCTCCTGCGACGTTTTTTTCCCCTTATTTTATAAAGTTTCCCCTGAACGCACCACGGCTGTAAAAAATGTCTCTTTAGGATTATTTCTATTTTATCTTGTTGCTAATGGTAAGTTTTCTGATACAGACATCTCCTGTCATGTGTCGAAAGTGATTCACCTGTCATGTTGGAGCCTGTACAGGTGCTTTCTCACCTGTTGTGAGAGCACAGGCGCCAGTTAGAATCATCAGAATAAAGAAAAAAGAAGACTGTCCCGTGAGGGTGATGGCTGTTTTGTTCATTTTGGGTTGTTTGATTTTGCCCAGAGCATTCAACAGTTGGGACCTATTATGTGTTTAGTCCTAATGATGTTTGTTCAGGAATAAACTGCAGCGGGGGTGATGTCACACCAAGTGTCTTCATATTGCATGTGTAAAAAGTCATCAGCTTCTGACTGCCACATTCAAATCGCAGCGTTTTTTTTTCTCAATGCCAAAGATGCTTAGTTCATCATTTCAATATTTTTTTTCTCATGAGGGCAATAACAAGGAGACTTTTGGAATGAAACTGTACACCTGCTAGGCGTTGGCTCCACGACAACAATGTAAGCAAGCACGGGGTCGTTTGAGATGAGTTTTGTCAACTTTTCTTTCAACTTTTTAGTCTTCTAATTATTTAATTGAATGTAAACCACCATGTAACACATCCAAACTATTTGGTTTCGTTGTGAATGACATTTTCTCAAGAGTTTTGTTGCCCTTCAATAACGCTTCTTATCAGGTCGCTGTTTAATGAAAGGCACAATTAGAGCTAGGATTACTAATGATCACTTTGCATGAACAATAGAGAGGGAAAAGGAAGCATTTGTTGTAGATACTATGCATAGAAACTGAGCCACACGATCGTTTGTTGGTGGTGGTGTTCAAGATGGTTTATAGGAGTGTGGTGAGGGACCATTATCCTTTTGAGGGGTGGTTTCAGATTGATACAATGATCATTCACACTATTTACTTTGTATTATGAGTATTTTCGGGAGGCTAAATGTTTTTGGACTGGGCAGTACAGTGGACTAGTAGTTAGCATGTTGGCCTCGTAGTCAAGTGGTCTTGGGTTGGAATCATCTACTGTACTGGTTTTCTGCAGATATGTCTGCTTGTTCCCCAATTCCAGAAATGCATGTTAGGCCCATGCTAGGTCTAAATCAGAGGTATCAAACTTTTTTTATTTTTTATTTTGGTCATGTCAAATCTTATTTATGTTTTCCCACAGGGGGTTGTTAAGACTTACAAATGGATGATGGTTTCATCAAATAATGACAAATTGATTGATAACTAGTTATGAAATCAGATGTCAAGGAAAAGTTTGGTTTGTTCAGTTCATTTTTGGAAGGGGTTTGTTCATAAAAGTGCTCTCTGTAGCTCAATGTGAATGAGGCAATGCACAAGTTAGTGTGAAAGGGGCAACTAGTCCGGTTCACAATAAGACGATCTGTGATGAGGTTGAAGTCAGGGTTCTCAAGTTCTTTCACATCAAATTCAAACATCAGCTGGGCTAGGCTCCCGCCCAGAGAAAATGGAGAGATGGATTTTTTTTTGGATTTTTTTTTTTCAACACATTTTTCAACATTTTTCAAAGTTGTTTTCAGATCAAATGGTCTTTAGGGCAGCAAGTTACCCACCCCTGCTGCAAATGTTAAACTCAACGAGAAACTCTGCTAATAATGCCACCCAGGCCTCGTCATTACTGTTAACATAAGTAAATATATGCTGTGCAAACAGGCCTGAGCTAATAGTGAAAAGTCCAATATTTTCCAACATGTTGATGGGTGTATTTTCATCTCGATTCTGAGAACGTTAAGTTTTGAGCTTAGAGGCTCACAGTGATGACACAACAACCCAAAGGGGCTTCTAACTCGCACGCTATATCCGAATATTCAGCAGTTGTGTTTACAAAGCAGCATGGGGGAGGAGCAAGACAAAGACGCCAGGTCTCATCGAAACGTACAGTGGTTGTCATTTTCCAGTTCGTTGTCGTCTTCTAAAAACAAAAGTTGTTAGAACGCAAGAATGCAGCCGGGTCGGATGCGTCACCTGCGGTAGGTGTGCGAGCCAATGAGGTGGCAGCGCCCCAGTTGTCGCACTGGACAAGCCTGTAGAGCATCTTTTCTCAAGGTGCATCGGCCGTTCCACGGCTAAGATTTGTTGCACAATCACAGAAGAGCCTGAAGAACTGGTCCTACAGATAAAGAACTCTTTCTCTTCCAAGTGTGACTGTTTTGAGACAAGGATGTGATTGACAAGATGTTTTATTTACATGCTTAATCCTCCGGAAGATGGAGGAAAAGGATGGGCTCAATAATCCTTGAAATATTTCATCACGTTTGCTGTCTATAGACGTTCATAGGGAAGATGAGTCACGTCCGTATTATTCTGCTCAATACAACACTCTGATTCCATCCATCGATTTTTCTATAATGCTTGTCCTCATTGGAATCGCAGGTAACTAAAGCCTGTCACAGCTGACTTTGGGCCAGAGGCAGTGTGCACCCTGGACTGGTCGCCATCCAATTGCACGGCACGTATACAGACAAATAGCCTTTCACATTCATACCTATGGTGAAAAAATAAAAATGTAAAAAAATAAACATCTAAAACAGTGGTTCTTAACCTTTTTAGAGGTACCGAACCCAACCAGTTAATATGCACATTCACCGAACCCTTCATGAGTGATAAAAAAAAAAATATATATATA